ACGTGTCCCTATGGGACGTTTGCATTCCGGAGGATGCCGTTTGGTTTTTGTAACGCCCTCACTACCTTCCAGAGATGCATGGCTGCATTTTTTTCTTATATGGTTGAGCAAATTGTAGAAATATTTATGAATCACTTTTCTGTTTTTGTAGAATCTTTTGAAATTTGTTTGCAAAATTTAGAAAATGTTTTCAAAAGGTTTGAATAGACTAATCTTGTGCTTAAGTGGGAAAGTGTCATTCCATGGTATGTGAAGGAATACTTTTGGGTCATAAAATTTGAGGGAAATGGAATTGAAGTTGATAGGGCTAAAATAGATTTTATTGCCAAACTACCCCCACCCACCTCTGTAAAAGGTGTTAGAAGTTTTCCACGGCACGTGGGTTTTTACCGCAATTTTATTAAAATTTTGCACAAATTTCTAAACCTCTATGCCAATTGTTAGAAGTGGATCGCCCGTTTGATTTTAATGAAAGCTATTTGAAAGCTTTTGAGCCATCAAAAGATGTACTTAGTCTTGTACCTATTATAATTGAACATGACTGGAATTTGCCATTTGAACTTATGTGTTATGCCAGTGATTTTGCAGTAGATGTTATGTTAGGTCAGCGGAAAAGGTCAAATTCTTCATCTTATTTACTATGCAAGTAAGACTTTGAGCAGTAGTCTGTTAAACTATACTGTGACTAAAAAATAACTTTTAGTAGTTGTTTTTACATTTGATAAAATTTGCTCATATTTAATTGGGACCAAGGTGTTGTTTTTATAGATCATTGTGCATTGAAATATTTGTTTGCAAAAAAAGAAGCAAAATCTAGGTTGATTAGATGGATATTGTTGCTACACGAGTTTGACCTAAGAGATTAGAGATAGAAAATGTACAGAAAACCAAGTAGCAGATCATCTGTCTCGGTTATTGTCTTCTTTCAGCATGATATATAACTGTGAAATTAAAGAACATTTTATTGATGAACATCTATTAGCTATATTTGAAATCCCTTGGTATGTGGATTATGATAATTATCTAGTTAGTAATATCATTTCTAACGACTTAAACAAACACCAGATGAAGAAGTTCTTTCATGATGTAAAATTTCATAAATGGGATGAGCCATTCTTGTTTAAGTTGAGACCTAATAACACACTTCACAACTGTGTAGCAGAGCAAGAACAGGAGGAGATTTTGGAGTCGTGTTATAAATCGTCATATGGAAGACATTTTGCTGGACTTAAAACTGCAGCGAAGATTCTCCAAAGTGGTTTCCTTTGGCCTTCGCTATTTTGAGATGCTCACCTAATTGCTCAAAGTAGCGACCGATTCCAACAATAAGGTAACTTGACTCGGAAACATGAGATGGCCCTCAACCCAATCCTTGAAGTTGAGCTATTTGATATTTAGGGCATCGATTTCATGGGTCCATTCCCGTCGTCATTTGGTACGAACTATATTCTTTTAGCGTTGATTACGTTTCAAAATGGGTTGAGGCTTTAACCACCCCTACAAATGATGCCAATGTAGTTTCTTTCTTTCTTCAAAAGTTCATTTTTACAATATATGGTACCTCGAGATGTTTGATCAGTGACGAGAGCACTCATTCTCTTAATAGAGCAATGAGTAATTTATTGAAAAAATACAATGTCGATCATTAAGTTGCTACTGTCTACCACCCTAAACCAATGGTTTAGAAGAAATATCTAATAGGGCAATAAAATCAATTTTAGAAAAATATGTAAATTTGAATAGAAAAGATTGGGAGACTTGATGATGCATTATGGTCATATAGAATTGTATTTAAAACACCTTTAGGTATGTCCCCGTATCGTTTAGTTTTTGGAAAGGCCTTTCATCTTCTGCTTGAATTGCAACATAGAACTTTTTGGACTACTCGAAAATTGAGTTTTGATTTTTATGTTGCAGGTGAAGTGAGGTTATTGCAATTAAATGAGTTGGATGAGTTTAGATAATTTTCTTATGAAAATGCCAAAATGTATAAAGATCAAACTAAAAGATGTCATGATAAGAAAGTTATGGCTAAGAATTTGGAACGTGGTGATTCAGTATTGTTATTCAATTCCCGTTTGAAGTTATTTCCAGGTAAATTAAAGTCTAGATGGCCAGACCCATTTCTAGTTGAATGTGTTTGTCCACATGGAGCCGTGGATTTGAGAGATACTAAATGTAAGATTTTCAAAGTGAATTCGCGAATGGGCATCAAGTGAAGAAGTATTTTGGTGAGTATAATGACAAAGGCAAAACCTTTGTACTACTAAAGAACTTATGAGAAGACAGTAAGGAGAGTCCCTCTATCGGTATTGAGGGAGTTTTTGGTGTAAAATAATTTTTTTTATTTTGCGAAATTTTTATACGGCTTTTTTTGTAGGTTTCAGTTCTAATTTTTGTTTTATCATCTGAATTTTGCGTGAGGGAGTTGATGTCTAAGGGTGTGTGAGGGAGTTGATCATGGAAATAGTAGGCAAATGATTAGAATTAAGGTCACGAGGATTTTATGTGATCATATAGCGGAGTTGAACAAAAGATGGCAAGAATCTTTGGAAAATATAAAAAAATTGAGTGAACAAATGCAAACTATGTCAAACGAGATGAAAATTCGCCCTAGATTTGAAATCACTCCAAAAACCCCACATCTGAGCTTTTAGAATCATCCATCTCGCCCCTACCTTCTGTTACTATCAATGTGGGTGTAGAGAGGATAGAACAGTACAGTGGGAATTTCGAGCATGATACTTGGTCGCTCGAACATTTGGATTCTGCCACTATTGAAATTCAGTGCGAAGAAGTGGCTGGCACATTATTGGAATGTACTCCAACGGCCATACTTTGAAGTATTTCTTCTCCAAACTTTCCAAATCTTAATGTTTCTAATAAGCGTTTAAATTTTGATAGTGCATAGAAGAAAAAGACATATTCGAAAATCGTCGAAATTCTTGAGGTGGTAGATGAGGTAGTAGGGGAAAACAAACTGAATGATGATGGGGACAACATGAATGTTGTGGAGAGAATATCTTCCATTGGGGAGGATGAAGACCTTGGAGATTTTCCATAAGAATTTCATAGAAGGGAGCACGAAGAAGGAGAGGATGATCATAATGTCTCACAATTTTAGGATCAAATGAGGACCTCAGTTCACATCCCACATCAAGATAAGGAAGATATCTCTTCTCCAATCCAAAAAGGAGCATTCGGTCTTGAGGATGCCCCACAAGGTGTTGCGGAGTCCACTCGTCTTCTTCTAAGGGTTTGTCTCTTTCCCTTTCAAGTTTAAATGCTTATAATCCAAACTTTGTTGCTACTATAGAGAGCTCGGAAGAGAGCTCGGAAGAGGAAGCTTGTTTGGCTGAATGATGAAAAAAGTGAAAAAGTCAAAACAGTCAGCCCAGAATGTGCCAGGTACAATTTTGAGGCCGCACACCCAAGTCTAGGCCAGTTGGAGAGGCAGAAGAGCAACCCATAGAGGCTGATGAAGCGAATTTCGATGCAACCAAGTCACGACTAGCAAGGGCTAAAAGAGTTCAAATAGAAGTGAAGAAACCAGATTTTACAACCAGAGAGCTCTTGGGTGCGAAGGGCTTTGATGAGGAATAAGAACCTGTCACGAATTATGTGAAGCGCCAACTTGTGGAACAGGATGGCAGACTTTATTTAAACCGACTACACGTGTTTAAGAGAAGTTGGTAAAGGAGTTTTATGCTGCCATTCACCCTCATAGAGGCAATGCCATGAGCATTCGAGGTAAGTTTGCAAGTTTTTCTCCCTCGGTCATTAATGCATATTTGGGTTTCCCCACACTTTCAATGCAGTCGGGAATGATCTCACTGTGCACCCAATGGTCGAGCAAGTGGAGGAAGACATGGACCGTTAGATTCCATGATTTAATTCGAATTATCTAGTCTTGAGCAAGACTAACAAACAAGATCTGAAGAGATTAAACATGGTACTTGAGTCTGCCGTTTGTGTGTCATATATGTCAAGCAAAAAAACTCTTCAGTTCCAGTGCCCATTAAAAGCCCTATCAGTGGTTAAATCAAGTAATTGTTGTGTCAAATGTGTCTTGTTAGATTGCAGATTCAAAGTATGCACATTGCATTAAATTATTCCACATATTAGATCTCATCTATCCATTGGAAAGTTGCGTTATTCAAATTCTCAACTCGCCAAAGTGGGAGTCAATGTTGTGCAGCATTGAATTACCTAACATATGAAGTTTGAAATAGTTGTGCCTATTATCCGACCAATGTGAGAGTCGCACCGACCCAACTCAAACCACCCAAAACCGTTCCTTAACTACCAACTTTCCACTCACGCTAAACTCATGCCAAAATTCACGCAATGTTCTAGGTGGCCACCTTGCGGGATCCACCCTCAAATGCTTGTAAATACAATAATTCACTCGACACGCAAGTATGCAAAATTGATTGCTCATTCTGAGACATAATATTTTGAACTGAGACGGACGAGACCTTTAAACTACTCACTTCTATTTTTTAGGTTCTTTTGTTTCTTCAAGGTTCTCAAGATTAATCGAATTTTTGCTGAAACAATTATCAAACATGTTTACGTTCCTTGTTTTGGCAGTAAAAAATAAAGGACGAAAAACAAGAAACAAAGACAATTATATTTTTCTTGATTGAACTAAAAAGAAGAAAACAAGAAACATGAAACATGAAACAAAACAAAACAAAAAAAACAAGAATGTTACCCAATAGACTCTGAACAAACAAGCAAAACATTACCATACTTACATTTTGTTTTTAGTACAACTTATAGAGTTAGAAATTCGAATTCAGGATCTGCTTAAGTTGGTAATTGGACTAAACTTATAATATAATTCGGAAATAATAATAATGATAATTAATAATAATAAATGATAAAAAAAAACAGAGGCCACGTTTTTTCTGTCGCAAATAATCTTTCCCAAATCTCATTTTTTGTTGATTGTGGAGGAGAATAATTGGTTGTAGTTTTTAAGGTCCATAATCCCCTCCCCCAAATCCCCATCCGGCTGCAAAACAAAACAATACAAAACACTGCATCCTTCAAACACCCTCCCATTGTAATTCCCCTTCATGGATTCTGCCCTTCTCTGTCATCCACTCTTCACTCGCTTCAATAACTTAACTCTTTCCACTTTCAACAATCGCCCCTCTTTCGCCCCTCCTCCTCCCCAAACCCTCCGTAAATCCAAGCAAAGAACCTCTAACTCTGCTTCCTCCGCCGCTGCCTTCTCTGCGGGAAACATGTTCGACGAAACTCCCACCACCAAAAATGGCAAGCCCTCCGTCGCCGCCTCAACTTTAGGACTCGGAGCTGAAACCTCGTCGGAAGCCATTGATTTCTTTGACAATCTGGAAGATCCTGACCACCCGTCCGATGGCTACTCTTCCATTCAAAGTGCGGTCGATGCCATACACCAGGGGAAGGTATTATCGCGAACTCAAAAATACTTGACCCCTTTCAGCAAGAGTTTCCACTCAAATTTTACAGTTGTTTATTTTCTACACAAAATTAAACCAATATCTTCTTTTCTACTTTCTCTCTCCTATTTGTCAAAAATTTTATTTAAGTGATGGATGCAGACACTAATTTAAATATTATTCCACCCACTGTTACGTTCTAGACAGATAGCTGTCAAATTTTTAGTGGCAAGCAAATATCGTTTTATTTTACTCCGTCTAAAATGCATGTTTTTGTGTTTTTGTTGTTTAGTTTGTGATCGTCGTGGATGACGAAAATGGCGACTCGGAAGGAAATCTGGTGATGGCAGCCTCCTTTGCCACTCCTGGCAACGTAACAAGCATGGTTCAGCATGGCTCCGGAATAGTGTATGTGGGTATGAAAGAGGATGATCTTCAAAGGCTCAAGCTTCCTCTATTCTCAGTCGACAATGGAAATAATGAGACCTCAACTTTTACAATCACAGTGGTATTATATTATATACTGTTTCCTAAATATTATTATTCCATTTAATTTGGTTTTAAATATATTTTCTAATACATCTATCCAGATTTCAGAAGTTCCTTTATATATATGCATTTCCATTATATATATATTAATATTAAACCGTGCACTCGTGGAGGGGAATGTTTGTTAAAATATATCAAATGGTTAAAAGATACATAAAATAGCTTTTAATTAGTGAAGATACATAAAATAATACTTCTTTGCTCTTCTCAACATAAAACTTTCTATTTGACGATCACTATATATTTAATTTTTTTGGGAAAAAGAAGAAATTCCTCCTTTCTTAAATGTCTACATTCCTATTTCTCTCTCTTTAAATATGACTGATTGATGAAGTATTTTCTGTTAAAAATTTCAGGAGATCTAATCAAAATTTATAATATACCTGAGCTACTCTTCTTATTGTTCATAGGCATTGATATAGACATTATATGGAACTCAAAAATATTAATATTTTATATACTAAAATGGTTAATATAACCATAGATTTGAAGGTTTTTTCTTGTTCTTTTATGACGAGGCAGGACGTGAAAACGGGGACGTCGGGAGGAGTATCAGCTGCCGACAGAGCAAAGACAATAGTTGCTCTATCATCTAGCGAGTCAAAGCCAGAAGACTTCCGGAGGCCGGGCCATGTGTTTCCGGTGAGGTACCGAGACGGTGGCGTTCTGAGGAGAGCGGGCCATACTGAGGCTTCGGTCGACTTAGTTGCCCTTGCTGGGTTAAGGCCAGTTTCGGTTCTCTCAGCCATTGTTGATACCCAAGATGGCTCCATGGCTTCACTGCCCAAACTCAGAAGCTTGGCATCTCAGCACCAAATACCAATGGTCTCAATAACGGACTTGATTAGGTAATTATGAGCTCATTGATAATATTCTCGTTTCTTCTTTCTTCTTCCCTAATTTTTTTCCTTAATTTTAATAAATAAAAATAGAATTACATGTTCTAACAATCTCTACCTACTGTTTTAGTCAACAGATTTATATTTTAGAACAAATAAAAAATAAGAACAAGAAAAGAAAATTTATAATTCGATTTGGAATGCTTACGTTACAAGAAAAATTTGAGACTCTTTAATTTTTTGTTTCAATTACCAAATATAGACTGTATCTTGTAGTCATGATCGTCCTCTAGATAAAAAGTGAAAGTTCTGCTCCGTTTGTCTGGACTTACATTTCTACTTTATTGTTTTTTTCCTTTTTCTTATTTATTATCTTATTTTTTTTAGGTACCGAAGAAAGAGAGAAAATTTGATTGAAAGAATTGCGATTTCTCGGCTGCCAACTAAATGGGGGCAATTCTATGCTCACTGCTACCGCTCAAAGGTAGATGGGATTGAACACGTGGCCCTTGTAAAGGTAAAAATAATCATTTCTTTAAACTTATATATAAATATAATGGAAATTTAAAGTGCAAGTAAATTAACTCTTCGAGTCATAATATAATGCTAAAAAAGGGAAACATTGGGGACGGCCAAGATGTTCTTGTGAGAGTCCATTCGGAGTGCTTAACTGGCGACATATTCGCGTCTGCAAGATGCGATTGTGGCAACCAACTGGACCTGGCCATGCAGATGATTGAGAAGGCCGGCAGAGGCGCTGTCATTTACCTGAGAGGCCACGAAGGAAGAGGCATCGGCCTCGGCCCCAAGCTTCTCGCCTACAATCTCCAGGACCAAGGCCACGACACCGTCGAAGCTAATCTCGAGCTCGGCCTGCCCGCCGATGCCCGAGATTACGGAGTCGGCGCCCAGGTCAGATACTAAACCACAATACTTAGTTACTCACGGGTCAATCAACATAGAAACTTCAAGTTTTATTTGTTTGTTTGTTTTAACAGATGCTGAGAGATATTGGAATCAGAACGATGCGTTTAATGACGAATAACCCGGCGAAGTTCAAGGGGCTGAAGGGGTACGGACTGGCAGTCACGGGGAGGGTTCCAGTGGTCACACAAATTACAGATGAAAACAGAAAGTACTTGGAAACCAAGAGAACCAAGATGGGCCATATCTATGCCAAAGGCCCATTATCTGCAATTCATCGCAAAACGACACCGGAGGCTGAGGCTGCCAGTAATTGAAACTGTCGCCATTATAATGAATTAAATAAATAAATAAATAAATAAACGCCCAAATAAAACAAATATATTAAATAAGGCGTGGTCCAGTTTTGGTCCTAAAATGGCCCATTATTATTATTCGTTCTATTTTTCTTTTTCTTGTCCTCTTGGCTTTGGTGTCATGGAAGGAATGGCTGTCTTGTCCTTTTTAAGTATTATTATTCCTTCTATTTTTCTTTTTATTAATTCAATTTCTAAATTTGGTTTTGGTTTCGTTTTTCTTTCAACAGAGCTGGGACTTGCCTCAAAAAAAAACAAAAAAAAAAAAACAGAGCTGGGACTTGTATGGTGTCGGACATATTGTGAACCACTTAACGTACGATTTTTTTGCCAACTTCATTGCATGTTCTTTTTTGTTAATAAATTAAACATTAGATGAAACTGAATATAAATATTATTTATTATCATAAAAGTTTTATAGCATTGCTATACATAACCAAATATAGTATTGTTCTATTTCAAAAAATTTTGATTATATTTGATTTATGAAATATAACATTTATTATTAATTGTTCCAACTGATTATCCTACAAAGTAATTACAATTAAAAGTTTATATAATTTGATTAAATATGTTTCTTTTGAATTTGACTTAATAAAAATAAATTAATCTATGACACTTAATTGTTAAAATAACTCAGTAAATTAATGGCTGGAAGTGAGTATCGATTAATTTTAATACTCTGAATTAACAAGCAACAATTAATCGTTAATTTCTATTAAATTATGATAATCTTCTCATACACAACCAAACAAAGTTTTCTTTGATTCACAGATATATTATTCCCAGACATCTTATTCATGTTAAGGATCTCAGATTGATAAACGAAGGGACCTTACATAGATTTATAATAGAGGTGGACTACTCCTGTTATTGCCAATTGATTTTGAGATGGAATCCCATTAATATTGATATGGTATTCGAGCCCAAAATGTTCAAACGAGCATCTGATCTAAAAAAATGGGATCTGGCCAACATCGATGAGCCAAAAGATCAGCCACAATCTTAAGAAGGAACAGATGAACCAAAAGAGCTACGATCTTGATCCCACATTAATAAAAGAAGGAACCTTATATAGGTTTATAATAGACATGTGCTACTCCTCTTATTGTCAATTGGTTTGAGATGGAACCAATTTTGCTCTCATTTTTTAATTTAGTTATGCACGCTCATGTATATTTTAAATTTTGATTTCCAAAAATACATCTGCATATTTAATTTTTATTTTTCATAGTTTTAAATGATTGTCGAGAAGTTGTTTAATATTATATTGGTTCTTTCTCTTCTATTATCTCCTTCTGTACCTTATTGTCTTCAAATTTTAGATGGAGCTTCTATAGTTTTCTTGTTCCTAGTCATTTTTGCAAGGGGATGTAATTGAAGACATTTTAGGACATTAGATTAAAGTTGCGAAATATTTTTTCTTCTTTCCCTCTTCATGTCTAGCATCAGATGACCACCATCACATTTGGAAATTTTGCACGAGAGATAATACATCAAATATCAAGACATAAACTAAAATTTGTTAGCCAATTTGGCCTACATCCACTAGAAATCGAGAGGGAGTTTTCTCATTAGCCAACAACCGAAAAAGAGGAAATCGATGGAAATCGATACAAGATGAATGCAACAAATTATGGAAAAACTAATATCCTATCTCAGCGACAACGCAATTATCACATGTGACATTCAATGGTTTAATAACATAAGGATAAAGTTAAACTTTTTTTCTTTTAATTATTTTATTCCTCACATTTTAAATTAAATTATCTCTTACTAATTAAACAAGAAAAGATAAATCAAAATTGAATTATGGAAAATACTCAATGTATGTAAAATTCATACAACATTCAATAAAAATATATTGTGACTAAAGATAATTCTATTTATTTCTTTCACTCTAACACATTTCAAAATAAATTTGATCAAGTCAAACTAATATTCTAATTTTCAATCTCCTGATTGTTGGTTGGAGTTTTTTCGCCATGTAGTAAAGTTTCCTGCAAACCAAGAACCTAATATGAAATATTAATAAATATTCAATATATAAAGAAATTAAACTAGTTTGAATACACAATTTACCTTAACTAATTGACTAAATGACATATTATAGTTTCCTGCGAAGCAAAAACGTAATATGAAATATTAATAAATATTCAATAAATAAAGAAACTAAACTAGTTTGGATATACAATTTACCTCAATCATATTATTTTGCGAATAAACGTGTTAGATTTTAGTTTAATAATTTTGTTATCACATTTTCATATATATATGTTGATGACGCGAGTTTTGGAAAAGGTCCACGTGTCCCTCGGAGCTGGGTGTCAGCGATGAGCAAATGCGCCGGCAACCAGAAAACTGGACATCGGTGCAGTGTCCCGCCTAAAACACTCTGACGATCAAGTCAATAATCGAAGTAGAAAGTAGGAGTGAACACCTTAGGGATTTAGTGACACATTTTAAACTTACTTGATAGTGATGGGACCCTTCTTTTCTATAGGTGTGGGCGGCAGACTAGGAAGAACAATGGTTTTTGGCGAGGGGCGCACTTCACTGTACGGGATTCTGACAGACGAGGGCAGGCATTACTGACATATGGTGGGTGGCACCTTCACTTGCCGATCTGTTATTTTTAGTCAATTATACGAAACAATGGCAGTGCACATGATATGTTAAGGAATGACCTGCATAAGAGGGACAAACTCTCCGATGCTCAAGTAAGTAAACAACTGTGTTTGAGGATAAAAATATTGAGGATAAAAATATCGTGGACACGTGGAGGACGCTCATTGGTGCTTAGAAATAAAAGAGTATTCCAGGTCCACCTCGAACCTGCCGAGGAGACCAGATTTGTCCGTAAACAAGACTAAGTGTAAAAAGCCGTGGTTCGACCTCGACGGGTTCGATATGCCCAAACCCAACAGGTTCGACATGAAAAAAAGACAAAGGTAACAGCCGGTCGTGAGTACTGTCAGACCCACCACCTATAAATAGAGGGCCTCATTTCACACTCAGGTATCGAATCTTACCTCGAACTTAATATTGAGTCCGACCTATACTGACTTAATCGTCGGAGAGTTTGCCCTCTTGTGCAGGTTCACTCCACGGTTCAGGTCGCGCCAGAGACCGGGTTTGAGCTAGGTTCATATACATCGTTGTGCAATTCTTTGCATAAACAAACTAGACTCCATATAAAGTTCAAAGAGAAATTCGATACTTGATGTGGAAATAACACCGTATATTTTTAGGTTAAGGATCCGACAGGTCATCCGATCGACAGTTACTCGTGTCGGACGTCTGGTCAGAAATGTTCCAAATGGCTAGTCAGACTTGACAGGTCAGACATTGAGACAATTATCATAATCCTCATTTGGCTATGTACTCCACCTCGAATAGGTTCGAGATGTCCTGGATGAAGATGGTTCCAAGTGTGCCAATTTATATCCTCCACGTAGCATTGTAATTTTCATCCCCAAAAATGTTTGATTTTGAAAATTGTTCTTAGATATTGTGTTCCAAACAGCAGAAACAACTTTTAAGTTTACCAATATATCAATCAATTTTTAAATGGATATTTAATTCCTAAATCTTTTATTAAATACATACCGGCAAAAATATATACGATTTCATGTTTGATTAAATATTTTGTTTTCAACTTAAAAAAAAAGGAAAAAAAAAAAACCACGCTAGGGAGAGAGCAAAAGAGAGAGATAATTGAAGTATGTGCCAAGCTAAGTGACAGTCAAAATCCCCACATTTCACATTCTGTGAATCGGATAATCCAAGAAACAAAAAACTTGACCCTTCGTTTCGCCAAAAGTCTGAAAGCAATAACGTGGGTTTCCGTCCCCTCTTCTCCCTCTGTTCGCAGACCTTCCAGCTTCAATGGAATTATCTTCTTCTTCCGCCTCTTTGACTGGACAGGAATTGATAAATCTTATCCATATATCTATTTCTTTTTTTTTTTCATAGTTTTTTCTCTTCTATTATCTCGTTCTTTTACCTTATTTTGTACTAAATTTAGATGGGAGCTTTTATAGTTTTTTTTCTTCGTAATCATTTTTGGCACACTGAAGCTTTGAGAGACTATAAAAGTTTCAATTTTTTTTCCTTGTTTCCCTCTAAGTTTAGCATTAGATGACTACAATCACGTGAAGAAAATAGAAAATTTACACGACAGATAATACATCAAATGCCACTATCTCAGCGACAATGCAACTATCATATGTCACATTCACATGGTTAAATAACATACAAAGGATAAAAGTTAAATTTTTTTCCTTTTATTTTACTCCCCACCTTTTAAATTAAATTTGTTGGAAAATTTTACTTACCAATAATATTTTTCCGTTCATGAGTAAACACTAAGTCACACACAATGATGGGTTACATCTAGTTACAAATTTACTCCTATAGTTATTATTATTAAAAGAAACTTAAACCTATTAAGATTCTACATAAGTACGAGAAACAACGAACCCTTCAAAATTAAATAATTACCATTACAAATTTACTCCTTAATTATGATTATTATTTTTAAAAAAATAAGAGTAAATTGCAAAAACCACCCTAGAAGTTGGTTGTTACCATTGAACAACTTTCAATTGTAGCAATTAAACCCTCAAATTTTTATAAATGAAAAAACCCCTAATTTTTGTAAGGGTAAAAATTAAACCATACAATTTAAAGAAGAAGAAGAAACAGAAGAAGAAGAAAAGATGTAAGTCATTTTCTTATTCACGTCTCTTCTTCTCCACATCTTGCAGAATGCTCAACCACTGCCACCAACAAGCCTAGGAACTTTCTTCGCCTTGCTTCATCTCCCAATCCGTCCAGAATAAAACATCATTCTCCTCTCCCATAACTCCATTTTCATCTGCCGACGTCCCTTTTCTTATTTCAACACCTCACACGATTTTGGGTATCATTTTTGAAAAATTCAATGTTGGAAATTTTTTATCTTTGTCTGGTTTGTTGGAAATTCAATGTTGTTTCTCGTATTTACGTAGAATCTTAATAATTTTATGTCTTTTTTAATAATCTACCATTTCTTTTAATAATCTATATTATAATAAATTAGAATAGTTAAATTATATTAGACTTCTCGACAATTTTGAACGATACACGCAAAAGCTAGCAACAATTGATGTGAATAAGTATTACCTTCCAACCATTTCTCGATCTCATATAATTTAACTATTCTAATTTAT